ATAGTAGCACACTCACCTCCCCGCAGGCAGGATTGGCAGGATTGCCTCAGGGGTGCTTTTTCGCAAGCGGCATCCAGCAAGTGGAACTCGGAGAGGATACATACCACATAGGCCACAGAGCTTTTGAAAACTGCAAAACGCTAACCCGTGTCAACCTTGCCAATACGGGCATTCATACCCTACATATGCACACTTTTGCGCAGTGCCACAGCCTGGAAACAATCAGGCTGCCGAACTGCCTGCGGGAAATTAGAGCAGAAGTGTTTGTGGGTTGCAAGGCCTTGGAGAGGCTGACTCTTCCGGGCAGCATTCGTTATCTAGGATACAGGGCTCTTGGGGACTGTACAGTGCTCTTCTCCCTTGAGTATGCATGGAGCAAGCAGAAAGCATGGCGGTATCCCTATGCTGCCGACAATGCCTTTGAAGGCTGTATCAAACTCACCATCCCTAAGTGGCTCCACCGCATCCCACCTAAGGACAGTGATTGGATTGCCCCTTGTAGCTGACAGAGTTGAATGAACGCCTAGCAACAACTAATAGAGTAGTGCCAGGCCTGAGTGAGCATGGACGGTTACCCAAGTAGCTGCCCCTCTGCACTGCGAGGCTCAAACCGCCAGTAGCTAGTACAGGCACAGGGAATAATACTGCCATGCACTGTGACATGGAGTCGCAGACGAGCTCACTAGTCAGCAATGAGCGCCAACTGGTGGTCCATCTCCAGTTAACTTCTCTCTCAGGAGAAGAATACCAAGTCATTGTCGACCTCCAAGAGTTTGATCGACTTGATGAGTTTGAAACCGCTGTCCTGGAGCAACTCCCGACCATAGGAGGAAACAGCACATTTGGTTGCGAACTCACTTTCGTTCGACGGGATACCGGGCAGCTCCTGCGAAATCCGGTATGGGACACCCTCAGAGACTGCAACCGCTTCCATATTGTCGTCCGCCAACGCTGTTCTCGTGCAGAGCATAAAGGCCAGATGAGGAGGAACGCAAAAGCAATCCGAGTACGGGTCACCCGTTCAGGGCAGGTGCTCCCCCACGCTTTCACACATTCGAGTGATATCAGGCACCTACAAGTCGAAGCAGACATACACACCATTGGGGAAGCGGCCTGGCAGCATTGCACTAGGCTTCTCATAGTGCACCTGCCCAGTTCACTACTATGCCTGAAAGATGGAGCCTTCCGATGCTGTTATGTGCTCCACACAGTCACTGCTCCGGGGTGCATAGACTTCGGATGCTGGGCTTTCGAGGAGTGCCATGCGCTGGCCTGGGTTGGAGACCCAGACCAAAGTAGCAACCAACTGGCACCGCAGGCGAGGCTCAACGTCCGAGCCTTCGAGAAATGCCGTACCTTGCGGACAATTGGCCTGGAAAGGGCTGAATATGATCCACGAGACCCGAATCGGGTCATTCCAGAAGGCTGCTTCCTTGGGACAGGGCTAGAAATGATTGCTCTCCCAGCTGATTTCTGCTGGATAGGACCAGCTGCCTTTGAACACTGTACTAGGTTGCAGACGGTGGACATCTCCCGGACTGGCATTCAGGAAATCGTAGGGGGCACCTTTGCATGCTGCCCCCAACTACAGTGCCTCAAACTGACCAAGACCCTGAGACGCATTGGGCGAGAAGCCTTCCTGAAGTGTAGCTCGCTAGAAGCCATACACATTCCACCTGCCTTGCTGTACATCAATAAGCGAGCCTTTGCTGGCTGTACACAGCTCTGCAAACTCGTCCGAATGGGCAAGAAAGGAACTTGGAGGGGGACCTATGTAGAGCACAACACTTTTGAGATGTGTACCAAATTAACACTCCCATCGTGGATTCGGTTTCTTCCCAAGCCCGATGCAGCCAAAGAAGAGTGGGAAGAATTCATGATAAGTTGTGCAGAAGCCACTCTGAGTGATACTGCACGCCCGTAACAAGCATGTGACAACCTGGGAAAGCTAACTGTGCTACAGTGCCATTGGCCCAGTGGTAGAGTAGCAGAGGGTCTCTGCCCTTTGACCCTACTGCCGACCTTGCCCGCGCCACTGAGTAGTTAGCCAGCTCCCCTGGCTGCCTTCCAAGAGGTGGTCAGGGATGATACAGTGTACAGTACACTAGCACTAGGAACAGCGGCGTTTCACCTTTTTGTTTCACCTAGTTCATGGGGCTTGCATGATAGGCTGTACTCGGTAGCACTCGTGTGACCCAGGGCTGCAGCAGAACCTTCTTAGGCACAACTACCACACCACGCCTACTCTCGCGCCTGAGCGACCTGCATGTTGGTCAAGGCTGAAAAGGCTGGTTCAGCTAGGCTGTGAGACCAGGTCCGTTCCGTGTCATACTCATCATCGGAGCTGCCACCTGGTCTCTCGTGCCCCTCACCCCCCTGGAGGGGGAGGTGGTGAATTGCTTGCTGCTGCTCTTACCCTCTCGTTGCCACCGCTTGCCTTATGCAAGTCTTCGTAGTGTCCTCTTTTTGGTTTTCCGTCTTGCGACTTAGCTGGCAATCCTTGCAAGCCTCAATTGCACGTCAAGTGGAATATTTGCAGGGACTGTCGTGAGAGGTCAGGCATCAATCCTGAACCTCCTGCCACTTCTCGCTTGTCCAGGGTCTTTGCTCCACATGGCTGCGAGGCTGCAATGCCCGCTGTCACTCCTGCCTTGATCCCCGACAGGTATCCCAGGCTGCACAATGACCAAGCCAAGGACACGAGCTGATTGAAATTTTGTCCCGCATGCGTGAGGAGTTCTCAACACTGAATTGGTCACCTTGAAATTACTCACATGGTCTATGGCACGTACGCATTCTTTGATACAAGTTGTGTCGTGCCCAGCTCCGAATGGACCTAAAAAGAACCTGATTTGAACCTCACTCTTGCTTTCAATCTCGCTCATGCATACTGATACGCATTGCATCTCCTGTGGGATACCTGCCAGCCAAAAAGCAGAATGCAGTTTCGTCCTGGACGTCCTGTACTGAGAGCAGCTTGAAAGGAATTCATCGCCCCGTTTCACTCCTGTGTTTGGTCTTCGGATCTGCACCTTTTGCTTTTTCATGTCTTGAGCGGACATGAGCCTGATCTGCTTGGTTTTTGTGGTTGGTTTGGGTTTGTTTTGGTGCTTTGTTGTCGGTTTGTGGGTGTTTTGGTCCTTTTGGTTCCTTTGCTTCCTTTGGTCAGGCTCATTTCCTCGCACCCTTCATGTTCATTCATCACGGTGACTTGTGCCTCTCGGCACACATAGCGCCCTTACCCGTGCAAAAGAAAAAGCAAAATCATACAAGCCAAGGAGTGACAGCAAGGGGAAGACCACAGCCTTCGTGATCGGAATTTCCAAAATGCCGGTGACGAAAGGCAGTGTATAGCCACTGAGCGAGTATCCAAAAGAGGCCACAGGAGTTGCTTGTCCAATTCCTCCCCCCAAGGGGGGGAGGCAACGAAGGGGGCAAGTCATAATGCCCCGACTCCAAAACGGCTCAGCAACGGGAGTGAGGCGAGACATGCTCTGTGAATGTCAGAGGTGGGCATACTCCGTAGCATGGCGCTGCAAAAGTGTAGCAGTCAGGTATCTGACATTTCCTTTCAAACGCGGCCAGGCGAGGTGTGGCCGATACATGCAAGGCCCCATGAACTACTCGAAAATAAGTGAGACATAGTGAAACGCCGTTTTCCTAGATCTGTACACTGTACCCATCCAGAACCACTACACGGGTAGCAGCCTGGGCACTGTCTATCTACTCAGGCCAGCGAAAGCGAAAAGCAAAAAATCTAAGCGCCAAAAACGCAGTGGACACCAGGGTCGCCAAAGTGGGCCTCTCCAGTTCAAGAACATCACGCTGTGGGAGAATAGAATTGACAGCCACACTGCTGGCAATACTGCCCTGTCAGTGGTGCTCGATGACACAGCCTGCTCATGCAGGCTCAACTAAGAGTCATGACGTGCCAGCAAGCATTTTCATACCGCATGTCAGATAGCCAATCTCTTGCTCCAATTCATTGCCCAACGTTGTTTCACTCTCTGTCTCACCCACATTCAAGTGTATTTTCAAGAGTCTCCTGCCCCGGGTTCTCTCTGTGGTTTTTGGTTGTTGTTTAGGTGTGTGTTTTGGTTCTGTTTGGCGGCTCGACACTCGTGCAAGCAGAAAGCAAGCTGCAGCGATTGGTCTTGAGACCTTTTCAAAACCCAGTGCGAAATTGCAAAAAAATGCACCCGATGCCCAAACTCTTCCTTCTCGAACTGAATGTGCATTCTTTGTTGAGAAGAAACTGCCCTGCATTTTGACTTGTCTTCTTTTAACAATTGTTGGCCGAGTGTTGTGCGCCAGCGGCTGTTGGATTTTGTTTTTCTCGCGTGTCCCAAAAAACGATTTCAGATGTTGTACTGCCCAAAACATCGAGCATAATTTTATGCAAGACAACAAATGCTTGCCGCTGTTCTTTGTGGCACTCAACTTTTTGGATGATGTGACGTGACAAAACACAGAAACCCATCTAAAACGTTTGTTGGAACCAAGGTGAATACCAAGAAACGCAGAACGCACACTTGAGCACTTTACAAAATGTTCAATAAACTTGCTCATGGTTTGTCCAATAGTCACAAAGCCTGCATTTGTGAAATCACTAAATTTTTTTCATTACAAGGACACCCGGAGCAAATCAAAGATTGTTTTGAATCAATTATGTTGAGTCCGTGGTAAGGCAAGTGCAAAGAGTCATTGCTGGGTTGAAGGTTTCTGTGGTCAACGCTTCAGGAAAATGTTGTGGCGTTTGTTGACTGGTTCAAGTGAACAGGAAGAAGTCAAACCATGTCAAGATGCAGTTTTTGGTTTTTGGTAGTATCATCATGATTTTTGTTCCCATGCAGTCTTTTCATACCCTTGGTGCACATGATGTGTTTGTGCTAAACAGTTCGAAACGATCTAGCTGCCTGCTACTGTTCGCTTCTTTCTGCAACACAAAGAAGTCCAATCAACATGGGGATGTTCATTGTTCCAATAATGTGTTTTTTTGTGGTTTCCTCCATGGAGAAGCACAACAACTGTACGGGTCGATTGGGAATTAGGAGCTGCCCATGGTTGCTCCAATAGCATGGGAATCAATGCAAGATGCTGGTTTGCTACGCAGGTGCACCGTGGCTGTTTTGTGGTGGTTGCAGAAGTGGTTGGTGCACCTTCTTCACCTCCCCACATCGGGAGCTTCACATTTGAGTTTCCCAAATCGGTTAGAACATGTTTTCGTTCCCAGTTTTCCACTTTGCCCAGGCCTCGCTTTACACCGCTCCTTGGCCGGTGGATGGGCAGGCCGTCTTGGAGGCGTGACGAAGCGACATGTCAGAGGACGGGAAGAAACAGTTTGTTTGCAACGATGATTTCGTTTGAACAGAAAACGATACATGCTTGGAAATTGTAGAAATACAAGTTTCTGGCATTAGCATATGTCAATTCGTTTAATTATAGGTTCACCCAACAGCCATTGGTTGCCCCTTTGAAGGCAATCTTTGTGGACGCGTGGTTTCCTTACAGCAATGTCGTGCAGGGCCGGCCACAAAGCGACTGGCATCCATCGTTGCCGGGTATGTGAGGAGTCGTTCCCATTTCGGAACAGTTTGTTCCGGCACTTGAGGGTTCAACACCCCACTCTTCACTTGAATCATGTCTGCAGCCAATGCAAGATATCACCCATCCCGGGCACATGCTTCCTTGGCACGAAAGCTTCGGTGCTATGCAGCCGATGCTATATGCATTTGGGAAGAAACAAGCAGGATGATTTTGAACCGTGTGATGTCCCCAAGCATATGTGTCGAGACATCAAGCCGACGGAACTGGACAGGCCGCCGTTGAACCCGCCATTTTCAGGATGTCCATTGCAGATGCCAAAGACTTTGGCGTTTCCAAGTGCTTTACTTGATGCTTTCAACCAGTATGCCTCCATGGAGAGGCCAGTGCTCCGAGTGCCCAGCAAGACACTCTTGAGGGATGTTCCGCTCCATGACTTGGAGTCTGCTTTTGCTTCTGGGATGCTTTGTGCCACACCCATTGGCTGCAAATCAACCTTCACTCACGCAGAACATGAGCAATGGTTGGAGCTTGCGAAGGAAGATCCAGATCGCGATGTTGCGTTGGCCCCGCGCCATCCCATTCTTACTTCAGATCTCTTGCAGACGGTGTTGCGCTACAACACGTTGCGCCCAAGTTTGTCGTTGAAAGACATCCGACGTGTGGCAAAATCGGTTTGGGGCCATGAAAGCAGTGTTTCAGAGTGGCAGGCTTGTGCCGAGAAGACACGGGGACTCCGGATCAAGAGGTGTAGGGGATCGGATGGACATCACAGTCCAACAATCGAAACCCCTCAGGAAGAAGGTGTGGCAAAACCTTTTGATCATGAGTGCTTTGCTTTCAGATTCTTGGCGAAGGTGAACAATCAAGAATTCTATTCAACGAATAGCCTGGCCGAGTCCATTTTTCACTATGCTTTGCACCCTGACGATGGCCAAGTTCCAGTGGACATGTGCTATGAACTGGTGCGGCTCGCACGCCAAAGCGGCAATGTTGTTGGAGGCCATCCACCTGCATCCAGCAGTGATGGGGCTATGAGAGTGCAGTTATGGAAGGATTCTTTTGATGGCAACTCACCAGGGGACACACCAGTGGCCATTTTTGACCGTAAGACCAAAGGCTTTTGGAGCAGAAATGAGGTCAAGAATGAGATTCTCAGAGAGAAGCTGCATGGGCCATTCCGGATGCAAGTGGTGTGGAATGGTGATGCATCCTGGATTGCGAGACTGGTAATTGGTTCTTTTACTTTTACTGCGGTAGTGGTCGCAGATCCTTTGGATGCCAGGTTAGATTGACTTTCTTTCTTGCATTTTCAGGTGCTCCCTACTCGTGGCGTGAGGAACGCAGCAGCTTGCTGTGAGGAATATGGTGGATGCTTTGCCAGAAAGCTGTGCGAACAGCATGAGAGGACTTCGGACATGAGCCACGTTTATCTCATTGCACCCATTGTCCGCTGGCGATTCTATCACTAGGTATATGGTCGTTGGAAGATTCCGGGGGAATGGCCTTGCTACCATTACAGACGGTTCAAGGTGTATATACCCAAATGGACGACAGGTTGAAAATCCCATGGCCCACCAGAGTTCTCGCCGTCTTCCAGATGCGAACGCCGTGCCAGGAGCAGCTGCAACCAACGAGATGACTGTGAGTATGTTCATCGGAAGCTCGTTCGCCGAGGAGGAGCTCGAAATGAATGATACCTGCGTTTGCAATGTTTTTGCAGTATGGGCATTGAACCACAGAACGACTGTTGTGAAGAAATAGCCTGCGTGCGAATCAAATTCTGCAGGAACTTCCACTTTGTCCAATGGCCTCAATCGTCAAAACTGCAAAGTCACCGAGGAGCAGCTTTGTGACTTGGGTATCTCACAATCGAGCCACTGAAGCTTTGGCTTCTTTGCATGTAGATTTTCGTGATTTCCCCTAACTCCGGGCGATCTTGACAAGGACGGTTCTTATACATCAGGTTGAAGTTCGGTCGCCTCGTTGGCATTTCCAGCTTTCAAGTCTCAAAGTCAGGCGATCTATTTTGGATGTCCATGTTGGAAGGTGAGCCGCGAATTCCTTTGGATGAAGTGCTTCGGAGGCCCGCTACGCCGGCGGGTTTGCTGCGAGCGGTCGCTTGTTACCACTAACAAGTGCAGGATGCGAGAATTCAGAGTAGATTCAGACTCTCATGTTGCAGTACCATCAACCAATTGGGCTTCCTGCTCGCTACCATCCAGTTCCTGGTTCATGTGTTTCTGATAGGATTCCTTAGACCCATAGGAAGTGAGCAGAGGTTCCGAATCAGACGTGTTGGGAAGCGATGTGGAAGGTCACCTCGACACATTCGAAAAACTTATTGTTGATGATTACGAGTACGCTTAGCGAGAGCTCAGCATCCCCAGCATCCCTTCAGCTCGGCTGGCAACCGTTGAGGTGGTCGGAGCGTTGCTCGAAGAGCAAGACAGAGCTCGTGCAGCAACTCCAAGAAGAGATTCAACTTGGAAGCGTGAATGTTCTGGTGCTGGCATATCGCAGCTGCTTGGCAAGTCACTGGAAGCAAAAGGCGATGGCTGACTTGGAAGGCAGGGAGTTGTTTAATGGATTTTCTTCTGAGCAGTTGTAGTAGATCAATGGTCAGATCAATGGCATTTTGAGCAACCAGATCAATCCTGTGGGAAGGTGCAATGCATGTGCCGGGTGTTAGCATCTGGCTTTCTGCTGCTCTGGTGGAGCCGCCCCTGCAGTTGCTGGATTGCCTGGACCAGTTCTTTCGGCGGGAGCTCCTCAGCTGCAAGGAGCTGCAGACCTGTACCACTGCTAAGCTAAGCTGTTGGCAGCATCTGGTGGCTGGGAGTTAAATTGCCTTTGACACTCAAGGATTATTTGTGTGGACTTTGGAAGGAATACCATGACTTAAGTTCAGGTCTTGCCTAAGCACATCTTAAGGGTACGTTGCATTCATCATTCAGAGTCTAAGCCAACTCAAGCCAACAAACCTTTTGCTTGACATATTTTCGAGGCAGTTGAGTATGAGACTGTCTCGCCTCAGCGCGGCTTGCAGATCATGCTTTGGATTGGACATCTCCAGCCATGGGTGGTTGCGATTAGCAAAGGCTGCAGGATACCGGACTTTTCGACCGCCGAGTCGCGGCAGGAGGGACTGGCTTTTGAGACAGCAAGGTGAGAGCCGGAAAACTCGCTGGACACCCCATGGAGATTGCACTAGACGAAAAGAGGATTTGGCAGAATTTGTGGGAGATTCTGTGGAACAATGGCCATCTCTGGGGGTCCTTCTTGAGTCCGCTCGGACGTTTGGACCTGCATCCTTGCAGCCTGGACTGAACGAAAGATCTCGCCTGGCGGCTTTGTACTCAATCTTGCGGGAGGTCGCAGATCTGTCCGATTTGGGGAAAGACGATGAGATCAGCGAATCCCAGGATGAAACGAGTGCCTGCGAGGAAGAGTCGGAGGTTGAGCTTGCAGACCTTGAATTGAAACAGAATGGAGATGATTCCGGATGCAGCTCAGAGGAGTTCGAAGGGGAGAGATGTCAGATTTTTCCACCCCCAAGTCACGCTGTCCAGATGTCCAAGTGGCCATTGCCCAGTACGCCCTTGCAAGTGCTAAAGAGCACCTTTGCTCAACTCGATCACACCACCTTAAGAGGAGTTCCCGTGGTCAAAGGCAAACGTGTCCTCAAGCTCACAAAGCCGTATGCAGACTTGCGCAAAACCCTGTTGAAATTGAAGAATATGGATGATGAAGGTGCTGTGGAGCCTGATGTGGCTCGTCAATTCTTGCAAGCTGCTGGGTATGAGAAGAGTCTAATAAGAGATTGGCTAGGACACGACGGGCGTCCTGTGAATTTTGACTTGTTGGCAGCAATGCTGGCCGCAGCATGGAGACGGGCAACAAGGTGGGACGGGCATGGAGACGGAGCAAATGATCAAGAGTGTCTTAGGAAAGTGGTGTTTTTCTACCACTGAGGTGTGAGTCGGTGTGAGGTCCATCAAAACGAGACTCACAAATGACTCACAAAACCTATACGGCAAAGTCCAGAAAGTCCATTTGATGGGAATATCAGGGAGTTCTGGCTATCCCTTGCATTTGGTGAGCATGTTCCAAGGTTGTAGTGTCTGCTATTGGCGGTTGTAGTGTCTGCGATTTCTTCCATACCTGCCGTCGATGGTGGTGCGGTGTCGGAAGGCCTCATGCGGCGTGCGGAACGTGCGGTGAGCAGAGTCTGGGCGTGCAGGACTGGAGAAGGATCAGCGAACTCGCGAACTCTTCAGTGCAGTGATCGGCACTTCCATGCACGAAACATAAAAGAAACACCCCAAGTTCTGTGAGGAATCGTGAGGAATAGGGAACAAATGTTGTTTTCTCAGTTCTTTCAAGTAACAACCCTGTGTAGGAGATTCTCGCTGGTCTGCTGCTGGCGAAGGCATTCAGCTCCGATGGGCAAGGTCGCTCTCACAAACTGCGCAGGCTATTGGGGATGATGTTAACGTAGCTTTTGTGCAACTTATCCCACATGCATATATTGTATAGCAACCTGACTCTGACTCAATCCCAGGATGGAAGAGGGGTTGGGCATGGTGAATCGAGTTTCTTGGGTCTTGTTACTTGGGGGGCTGCTCAGTGGCATCCGGGAAATGACTTGCCTTCATGTTTCATGTGGCCATTGTGTGAAGAAACCTGATATTCATATGTTGAAGTTTGCAGGTGCAGTGTTTTGCTTACCCTCCAAAAAAATGAAAATCGCAGGGTCGCAAGGGCCTTTATACATTATATAATATATCATTGTATAAATATGCATATATGCAATTATCATCCCAAAGATCTACCACTTTTGCACGCTGCATGCATGTCTTATTCTTTCCAGCAATCTTGGTTGTTGGTTCCAGTGAGGAACTAGTTCGAGCTCGTTCTCCCTGCCTGAGCTCGCAGTATTTCATCTAAAGATAATCAGCCCAAGCTCCCACTTTGCAAGCACCTGCAAGCATCTCTTACTTCTTACTTCCAGGAAAATTTATGAATATGTTCTAAAGTTCTCCCAGGTGCAGAATCCAGCAGCAAGATTCTCTGGAATAGTTCCGTACAATTTTGCTTTGTACTTCCAGATGATGTTTAAACATTTAAGAATTTTCCCAGGTGCCTTGTCGGGAAGTAGGATTCTCTCGGAGACTTGAATTCTGCAGGGGCATAAGAGGTACTGAATCCTGTCAGGCGTTTTCTGCCAACAAAAACTATTTAAGACAATGTTTTTTGATTCAAAACTACTATTTGTGGAACAATTTGGAACGGGAAATCAGGGGAGGTCAAGCATATTCATTGGTGATTCTGCCATTCAGATAGACATAAACGGTGTGATACAAGCCATTTGAACAAGCAGGGGAGCAAGCTGAGTGTCAAAACAAGGACTATCAATAGAATGGTCTAAATCCGTTTATTCTTGATTGATTCTCAATTTCTCAAAAACCTGCAAGAACATGTTGGCACATGGAAAGAACAACAGTTATAGTATAAACAGTGCATTGAGACTTGGAAGACTTTGCTGGGAAAGGGGCAGCTTTTATCCAAAAAATCAGCAAGGAGACAGAGGGAGGAAGAACTTGGGCCTTCCTTTTGTGTGTGCAAGAACAATGTGATTGCTAAACAAAGTAACACACGGAAATAGGTTGTTTAAAGTGCTCCCGCTTAGACTTAGGACTACATCAACAAGTGAAGCTCTTATTGAATGACGCCTTATACAATGAGTCATGAGGGCACAGGGACAACCAAGGAAAATTGGGAGCAGGACAGCTGCACCGTAACAAAGTTTTTCTTGAAATGCTGAGTAGAATCAAAGCTCTTGAATCTGGGCCCCAGGATTCAAGATTTCAGAAAATTTTTTCTTACGCCAAGTTCCAGGGCTTGGATTCTAGAATTCCTTCCCAAAATCTAGAATCTGCACTTGAATCTCATTGCAATGTGCATTGCTGGGATGCCGTCACCAAATGCTCCAAGTATTTCTGTAGGACTGTGACACATGTTTCGTGCGTATGTGTACATGCATAAGTATACGAATATGTATATTATATGATATGTATATGTACATCTACATATGGTACCCCCTAAGACAAACAACATCATTTCTCGAAAAAAAAAGAAAAAAACATTGCCCACGCTTCAAAATGGTAGGTCTTCAGGGGGGCACTATATATACTGTACACACATATATATATATATATATGTAACTATATACTATATATATATAGTTTCCTTTACAGCCAGGTATTCTCCCCACATCGTTGGTTCTTGGGGTGCATTTTGGATCGTTCTGTTCGCAGTTGCTTTGCAGGCGCATTGCGGGACTGCTCTGGCGACACCCACCTTTGCGGGGCAGGCTCCTATTGACCTCTCGTGGAGGAGAGGCGGCGCCAGAGCTCTTTCTATGTTTCTGAAGTCTTGATTGAGAGACATCATTGTTATTCTTATAACATACAAGAGTCCGGCAGAGTTGGATGTTTTGTGTTTGTTTGGCGTGGAAGGCTTCAGTGGCTTATGTTTGTTTGCTGTGCATGGTGAGGATTCTAGTGTATGTTCTTGCCTTTCTCCAGGAAGCATTGGCATGGGATTGGACACTACGAAATCAGACCATGACCTTTTCCTTTTCATCCAAGATGGGGACCCAAGCATGGTCCAAGAGCTCTACGAGGTGCTACTGGATTTGCAGCAAGACGAGAAGACGCATCTTCGGTTGAAGCGTGCGAAGATCCTGTGCAAAGATTTTGCGGTGGAGATCCAGGGCTATTATCGCTCGAAAGATTTTGACTTGGTGCCCTTCACAGACATCCAATCGAGTGACACAAGTGGTGAATGCCAATGGGACCCTGTACGGGAGGTCTGGCAGCGCATCTTGCACAAAGACCTTGCGCCGAAACTCCAAGACTTGTCGTTGCAGCATCCGGATGGCTACCTTATGACACGTGTCATGAAGAGCTGGAATGAATCTTTGCCAAAGATTCGTCGCAGGAAGCACCCCTTCATTTCGGTCCACTTACCATTGATGGTTCTGGGGGCTGGTGACCATGGCTGCTTTGAAGAGTGTAACAGCCCACAGACCTATGTTTTGGCCTCATTGAAGTTTATTGGGGAGAACTGGTTGCGCTCGGAGCTCGACCCCGATGACGTGACCTGGCAAGATGTGAATGCTAAACCTCATTTGCAGCGGATGACACAAAAATATCTTGAAAGTGTCACGCAGAAGGAACTCGAAAGGCTCTTGCAGACGAAAACGAGACTGTTTGAAGAAGCTTGCAGTCTTCGTGGTGATGACAGAATGTCCGCTGATGGAGTGATGTCTTTGATGCGGGAGTTCTTCGGCTGTGACTTGTGCCTTCTGAGACCAGACCGAAAGGCAGCGCTTGCAAAGCGCTTGTAGAGATTGCAGGTGGTCGAAGATGTGCCGTTCCAGCTTGCAAGATGCTTGCTGGCTCGGACTTCTTCCTTCAAGCTGACAAAAAGGGTAGTGCACAGTAGTGATGATAGTAGTCTTAGTAGTCTGAGTCATTCATGATTCCGGACTTTTCAGCCAGGGCTCGCAGAATGGAACACGCAAGGCGGGACATGTCAAGGCCATGGTTTGCAAAGATGAGCAGTTGGCTCATGCCCACTTGTTTCTGTCAAAGGACCTTTCACCTCAAAGATAAAGTTTCTCCAGTGCTTTTCATGTATATTCACAGCGAACTGTTGAACCCACCACATTTGGTGGGCAGAGAGGCTTGCTCTCACCACATCCAAACATGTCCCAGTCTAGATCAAACATACCTCTTTTGTGCACCCACACGCAATGCATCAGTGATATATATATATATGTATATTATATTATATATTTCTGCATCACTTTGCTCTTCGTCTTTGCCATGGGGATCGACACGGTCCGAGCCGTCGATCAGTTGCATGTGATCTCCTGGAACACCGCGGGTTTCTCCAGGCCCGGGAAAGAGGATGGATGGGAACTAACTAGAGAAACCATGCCACGGAATTGTTGGTCTTCAGATCCTCCTTCCGGTTGCCAAAGACTTGCTCCCACTTGGAAGAGCCTCCTTCTTCATACGTCCTTAAGAGCCTCCTTCTTCACCGCCCAGGACGCACGAACTGATCAAATCGCATTATGGCGACCTGCACACGTTTCTTCGCCGCCACCGAGCGGATGTTTTTTGCGTTCAAGAGACGCGTATGAAGGCTTCGATGTTTTCGAGCCTTGCAGAGTGCAAGCAACTGGGGGCGATCACCGAGGGCTATGAGAGCTTCTGGGCCTTCAATGAGCAGAAAGGTGTTGCGGGAGGAACTTGTGGTGTCGCGGTGTGGGTCAGGAAGGACCTTGCAAAGGGTATCAGAGCAACGCAAAAGGTGTTCAAGGCCGGGCTTCAAATTGCTGGAGATGTTCGAATGGTTTGATGGTGTGCTTTGTTTGAATGTGAATCTGTTGTCGAATCCAAGGGTCAGTGCTTTGCCAAGCTTCCTGTGTCGTCGATTTTGAGCCAGTTGTTTTGGGCGATCAATCTCGCAGGTGGACGACTTTGATCAAGAAGGTCGCTGTTTGCTGGTGGATTGGGGATCCCTGGCGCTTTTCAACGTGTATGTGCCGGTTTTAAAGGGTCCAGAGGACCAGCCGCGAAAGCTGAAATTTCTGGAGCTCCTCAGGCACAAAGTGGAGGAGATGCAGAGCGCGGGCAAAATGGTCATTGTTTGTGGAGATTTCAACCTCACATGGCGCCCGAAGGATTTTCATGGCCTCTATGTGAAAGTGGTGGAGGATTGCGTCTGTGGCAAGACGGAATGGCGCCTCAATGGTGGCCCGAATCGCTCCGCGCTGCTGACTCGTGGACAGGACTCCTGGATCCGCCTCGGTGAGGCGCAGAAAGCCTTGCAGTCCGAGCTGCTGGTGAGCGCAGCCTCCGCCGAGCTGCGCGCCGCACGTCCTCCCGACGGCGCCGAGCTGCTCCGCGTCGTGGACGCGGCCAGCGGAGCCACGCTGTGGATGAAGGGCGGCGGAGCGTCGACGCCTCTGGAGATCGTGCAAGGCCTACTTTTTTTGGCGTCTAGAGATCGAGTAACGAAAAACACATAATCAGTTTTTGCTGTCCATGCCGTGTTTTTGGACAGATCTGAAAAAACAGATACTGTAGCAACAAACTCTTGAGGCTAAGTGTTTTGGAATCTCTATCAGACTCATTTTCCTTGTGGGTCACATGAGGCTTGGATGGCGCACAGCAGATTCGCTTGCAGTTCGGTGTTCCGGCGAGTGATTTAGCGGCTCACGGGCAGACCTATCACTCAGTGACGCTGAGCTGCAACAGAGTCGGTTCATGTCCTCGGGCCTCGTCCAACAGGGTGGAAGTGGAGTGCTTCGAACCTGCTTCGTCCTCAGGCCTCTTCCGATCATGTCACGAAGCGTGATGAGACTCCTTCCCCTCTTTTCGTTCAGGCGTCTCATTCACTGAAGCCGAGCAACAGACTCCCTAGGTCTAATCCGTGCGATGGCACGGATTCCAATCTTCATGTGTGACGGCCTGCGGTCGCCGATTTTGCGTTTGATGCAAGGATGGAACCGGAGTGTGTGGAGTTCTTTTCCAAGTGGCTGGAGACCCTGACTGATACCTTTGCCGCCTGTCATGGAACAGCGGAAAGGCGCTTCACCTGCTGGATGCAGCGTGCAAACATGCGCTATTCCAACAAAGGATCTCGCTTGGACTACATTCTTTGTGATCAGAGACTGCCGCTTGCTGAAAACTCTGGTGGACAAAGCTGATTTGACGGCATTTCAACTGTGTACCTACAATCGCGTAGCTGGCCATGAGTCTTTTCCGGCTTCCACGCTTATCTTTCAAAATGGTCCTTGGATTTTGTAGTCTCTGATTCCTGCGAGAATACCTCCTTCAACTGCTTCACCCGGGGCGGTTCCTTTGCAACCACACAGCCATATGGGCCATTTGCCATGGCTCGTGTTCTTATTAATAGTTATTAATTTTACATATCACGAAAGCTAGCGAAGCTAGCTGGAGTTACTCTTGCGATAGCAAGGTTTCTTTCGATCGGGTGCAAATCCTAACCCCTGATCTTTCAGGTCGAAGCCCCCTGAAATGTAGAGGCCTACGTGTACAGGTTCCACTCCAGTGGCCTATCTAGTGTGTCCATGCTTGACTGCCATAAGGCTCAAGAGGATAAGACTCTGCGCATAAAAGACACTAGCGGTCTGCACCTCAACCGTGTACGCCCTAGTCACTCTTTCAGTGGTAGCGGAGCAGTGATCCTGGAAGACCCAGGTGAGCTCCTTTCCTAGGCATAGACTTGCTTGTAGGCAACCGGCCATGGATTGGATTGACGACTGGGAAGAGCCTGATGCGGATGTGGCTTATGAGCCAGCAGCCTATGTGAATAGGCATGTGAGAAGAGAACCAGCAGCTATAGCAATGACAACACAGGTCACTACAAAGGTGCCCCCATCTTATGATGGAAAGACTTCATGGTTTTCCTATGAGGATGCCATAGACGATTGGTGCGATATCACCGAGCTGGAGGATGAGAAGAGAGGACCAGCATTGAGAAACAGATTAGAAGGAGAAGCAGCGGTATACAAACGTGTATTAGACAGAGATGCATTGAAAGCGAATGATCCACCAGGAGCTGGAGTAGAATACTTCAAACGAGTACTACGACCATATTTTGTGAAAGGACCAACCAATGTATTCCTGTATAGGTTTATGCAATTCGTGCGCTTCAATCGAGGATCAGCCGACATGATGAAGTGGATGACAAGATTTCAGATTTTACTCCAAAGGCTTATGAGCAGTTGGATGGACATGTTGGATCCAGTAACACAAGTACATCCTCAGGTACAAGCTCAGATGCAAGCTGATGCAGCGATGACTGGAGTAGCTCCAACAGCGGAAAGAATTCAGGAAATCATGCAGAATGTCAATGGCAATATGAGAATTCTTCATCAGAACGATTTTCCTTTAGGAGAAAATCTCATTGCCTTACTCATGCTGTCACTTGCGGATTTGTCTCAGGACCAGAGGAACACTTTGACCTCTTTGATGACTCATCGTGGTAGAGTCCTGCAGCAATACACCACAACAGAATCGAGGACAGTTTTCATTGAGATGTTCTGCACAACAAAGACTTCAGTAGACAATCCTCTGATGCAGCCAACAGGTGCTGGAGGTAGAAGATCATTTCTCGTACTAGACGAAGGAGAACTCGATGGTACATATGGCTATTGGGCCGAAGATGAAGAAGATGGAACAGAAGGATTCCTTGATGCCCTGGACGATGTCTTTTGGGTATATGATGAACAGAATTTCTCTTGGTTCCAGAGGAGATTCCAAGGAAGAAGAGCCAGAAAAGGCAAAGGAAAAGGTAGAAGAAAAGGAAAAGGAAAAGGAAGATCAGGCCGCAGATTTTTCAGACCTCGAGGAAAAGGAAAAGGAGGAAAGAGACGAGGTAAAGGCCATTATGCTGATGAGCAATCGACAACTTATCCAGATGAGTATTTTGAAGAGAATCCTTATGAGGACACTTGGGAGTCAAACCAAGTAGGATATGATGCTATTCTTGCTGAAGATATGAATGACTATCTTCAAGGAGAACATGAAGATGCCCATGACTTTTGGCAACAACTTGAAGAAGCATGGTTTTCCCACAAAGGAAAAGGAAAAGGCAAGAGAAAAGGCAAGAAAGGAAAAGGAAAAGATAAAGGAGATGGCAAACAAGATGCAAACTATGCAAATCAACAACAGCCACGTTCTTTGCCTGCACCTTCAAGATCTTCACAAGCATCAGGAAGCCACCAAGGTTTCTTTGCGCATTGTATGACAACAGCAGCTGAAGTCAATGACAGTGAGGTGAACTTGCTGTCAGGCATGATGACCTCATGTCAAGATGAAGCTGACTGTAAGGTCAACAATGGTGAGATGATCTTCGATGACATGAGTACCCCTGTGAGGTACTTTTTGTCAAAGGAGATGCTCACAGATGCTCCTGATGGCTTTGCGCTTATGAGCGCTGAGGAAGAAGTGAAAGAGATGCAGGCTATTTCAACTGAGAATCGCTTCCCGCCAACTATTGCAATCCTGGACATTGGATGCACTAGAGCTATGGGATCAAGGCGTGCAGTCGATTTTTTTTGTAACTATGTCGACAATCACCCAAACTGTGGACTATGGTACTCTTTTGAGTCTACCAAGAGCAAGTTTTACTTTGCCAATTCTCAGAAGGCTTCTTGCTCTCAGAAACTGGTGATTTACATGTATGATCGTGCATGAAGAAGGAGAAGTCCCTTTGCTTATGAGCTTGCCACAGATGAGGAACTTAGGCTTTGAACTCAGGCTGACACCTCAACATGCTTACCTGACATCGGTGCCTCTTGGTATCAAATTTTTGGAGTTGAAGGTTGCAGCCAGTACTCATCTTGTTTTGGACTTCCAAGATATTGCATGGTATTTGTCTGACGTGCGTTTGCAGGCTCGGCGCGAGAAGAGCTTTTACTCTCACTTCACTCACTATGAATATGGCCATATTTCGGTTGATCACAATAGTGATGAAGATGAAGCTGAGCATGCATATCCTGTGGTTGACTACTGGGAAGTAGATCTTCACAAGAGATAACTGACACGTCACCACAAGGACTACAGGAAGATTCTTTTCCCAGCAACTAAGTCCTGTCCTGTAGACACTGACTTGCTGGAAGACTTGCGACTGACAATCATCAAGAAGAAAGAAGGAGGAGAAGAGATCAAGAAGATAGATGATTGGCGCAAGGCAAAATGGAAGGACCTACAAATTGGCTATGAATGGCGTGGTAGTTCAATTTTTAAGTTCAAGCCAGATGCCAAAATTCCAGATCTTAAGATCAGGAAGGCTGGCATTGAGCACCGTGGCATTGGTGATCCCGATGCAGTGGTGCGCTCCTCCTCAGAAAAGGTTCCCATTGCAAAGGACAGGGAACCAGGCTTCTCTTCAGAGAAGGAAGGTGCACCATCCAGTGGCGCGGAAAAGCCCGCGCCGCCAAAGTTTCGGTATACTTCCAAGGGTTATGACCCATTTTGGAAGGGACATAAGTTGAAACCATCTGAGCCCTCACATGATTTAAAGGGTGATGATCTTGAGGAGTATACTCCCTCAGAACCACCTGAGAGGCCAGAAGGTGAACTTGTAGAAATTCCTAAAGCATCAAAAGGACCATCAAGTGATAAACATGAACCACTTGAACCAGGTGATGGCGCTCTTGAGCCTAGGCGGATTTCAATCCCATTACCTGGTAGTGAAGTTGTTGCAATGACACCGGCATATAGGAAGATGTTGCAGAGACTGGAGGACAAGGTAGAGCTTTATAAGCTTCATGTGAAGCACTACCATATGAGTCCTACTCAGTTTCGTAGACGTGTTTCTATGTTGAAGCTTCCTGACTCTGTTTTAGAGAAGTATGAATCAGTTGTCAGGAACTGCCGTGTTTGTAACACTTCAGTGGCACCTCCGCCACGAGCCAGAGTCTCCGGTATTAGAGCTTCATGTTTTGGTGATGTTGTTTTTGCTGATCATTGTGAGGTTGAACTTCACAAGAACAAGTATATCATTCTACTTGTTCTTGATGGTGCCACAAATCTTCTCTGGGCTACGGCGCAGAAAGACCTCATAGATCAAACCACCATCCAAGCATTGAGACAATGGTCTGATGAGAACAATTGCGTTCCGAAGGCCATCGTAGGAGACGAAGCCTTTTTCACAGATGCTTTTGTTGAATACTACAGGTTTCATGGTATACAACAATGTCCTTGTGGACCAAGAACTCCTTGGCCGAACCGAGCAGAGACAGCTGTACGTTTGTTCAAACGTATGTGGCATGTTATGAAGGTAGATCTGGATGACCCACGTTTTCGTGGTGTTACGGTCAGAGAAGTGGTCAAGAAAGTAGTGTGGGCAAGAAATTGTCAGTTGACTATCAGTGGATACTCACCAATAGAGATAGCAACTGGAAGGCGTCCACCAGATCTTTTTGACCTTGAGACCGCAAGCCCTGAGCAATTGTCAGCTAGTGCAGCCGCACAAGATCGTACAAATCTGGAACTACAACGTGTAGCTTTGAGAGCTCATCAAGAAGCACGACAAGCTCAGGACCTTCGAGCAGATCTTGCAAGAAGGACTATGCCAAGTGACGGTCCATATTTTCAGGGAGAGAAGGTTTTTATTTGGACTCAGGATTCATCAAAGTTCAAGGATAAAGGACGTTGGGTCCAAGCCAACACCGGTAAGGCAGTGGTACGTGTGAATCAGTCAAAGGTTAGACGAGATCACGATGAGTGGCATGATGTTTCCATACCGGCATTAGACGATGAGAATCCGGAGAACTTACGTGAAGATCACGAACTGTATGTTGATGCCGAATTTGGAGAACAGTCTTTTTTCTTTTGTAATGATGATCATCCTGATGTTGTTGAGTTACTTCATGGAAACAGTGGATTATCTTGGTTCCTTTCAAAGAATGGTGTTAGAGTTGCATCTCCTATGGATTTCAAGGCAGGATACAACTTTTCCACGTTGAAGGGTCAAGATGCTATTTGGCAGCAACTTGAGAGGTTGCAGCCCCACTGTGTAGTGATCAACAACCCTTCTCCCAAACAAAACAGAGCTTCTATTTGGTTGCTATGTTGCAATGTGATTGAGTGGCAGTTGAGAAGGAAGAAACATGTGTTTGTGACTGTTCCCAAAGGAAATAA